TAGCTTAAATATAATCTTGACCTCCTTCTTGAGTTCCTTATTTGTCTTAGTTTAGATCTAAAAAGAGGTCATAAATGAGTCCTTGCTAACTGATAGATTTAATGTGCAGAACAAAAAATAGGTTAGAAATGTTTGGAATCTAAAAGTTATGATGTAAAGAGAAAGTAAGCCAGATGACTGGTCATTGATGTGTTTGAAAAAACTTCATACTTTTCTATGGTTAAATTATCCTAAAGCAGTGAAAATTAGTTTTAGTAGTAAAGTGCCTGAAATAGCTGATTTATAGTAGTTTAAAATATTATCAACTTCTGCTTAGTATTAAAAATGGCTTTATATTGTCACCATGAAATGTAATTTAAATATTTTGCTAAACACCAGAATTAATCATGAGTGAATCATCCAGATTGTATATTAATTCTGCAAAGATAAATTTTATTTTTTTGAGATTAAGTGTGCTACTTTGGCTTAACATTGTTATTTTTGTGTATTTTTTCTACTTTTTTTTTTTTAGATTTATCTTATTTTTATTGGAAAGTCAGGTATACAAAGAGGAGGAGAGATTAATAGAAAGATCTTTTGTCCAGTGGTTCATTCCCCAAGCAGCGCAACTGCCAGAGCTGAGCCAATCCAAAGCCAGGAGCTTCCTCCAGGTCTCCCACATAGGTGCAGGATCCCAGGCCATAGGCAGGGAGCAACTGGATGGGAGGCGGGACTGCAAGGATTAGAACTGGCGCCCATATGGGATCTCAGTGCATGTTCAAAGCATGGACTTTAGCCACTAAGCTATCGTGCCAGGCCCTATTTTTCTTACTTGTTAAAGAATGCTGACAAATAGATAGCATTTATTTGTAACAGTAAACAAAATCATATATACAGATTTCAGAAAGCTCATGAAAATGAAATTTAAAAGGTAGTTTTCCTTTTCAATGTACTTTTTGCAGCTTCTTTGTCCTCATTGTATGCTCATAGCTCTCCGTGCCACTACTCACAACCAATCGCACCATTCAATTATGTCTTGATTGCCTACCAGCTTTCTGGTTCAGTCGATTCTGAATTTAATGAACTCAGGGACTCTAGGCTACTTTGCTAGCCACCTTTTATGGAATAGCATAGATAGTAGACACCTGGATGACATAGCAGACCTCCAGTATTCTTTAAGTGAATGAATTCCCATCTCTTACTGAGTAACTTTTCTAAGACTTGCAAATAAGTAATTCCATAATATATTCAAGCATGGTTTGAGGGGCTAAGGAAATTCATGAAAACAATGAAGATGAAAAAATTTATCCATCTGGGACCCAGCAGCATGGCCTAGTGGCTTAAGTCCTCACCTTGAACGTGCCGGGATCCCATATGGGCGCCAGTTATAATCCCGATAGCCCCGCTTCCCATCCAGCTCCCTGCTTGTGGCCTGGGAAAGCAGTCGAGGACCCAGCACCCGCGTGGGAGACCTGGAGGAAGTTCCTGGCTCCTGGCTCCTGGATCGGCACAACATCAGCCGTTGCGCTCACTTAGGGAGTGAATCATCGGATGGAAGATCTTCCTCTCTCTGTTTCTCCTCTCTGTACATCTGACTTTGTAATAACAATAAATAAATCTTAAAAAAAAAAAACATTTATCCATCCAGTTATTTTTATTGCAATTTTAGAATACCTCTCAAAAAGTAATGCTTAGGTATATGTGTATTAATTGATGTGAAAATATGATTCTCATAAAGGCATCATATAAATACTCAGACGTTTTCTATTCAGTTCTTGGTGGGCAAAGGACTAAAATTTGCCATTTTGAAATTATTCATTGTCTCTTAAGAAAAGTACATAAAATGATCAGAATATGTCTTTTAAATAAATGTTTCAATTCTTATTGACAGTTTTGTAATAATTTTTTCTAACCACCCCACCCTTTAAAAAAAATCCTTACTTGTTTAATAAGTAGGGAATATTGTGTATTTTACAAAATGTCTGGGACATCTTTAGAACTTTGTTAAGTAAAATTAAAATAACCCTTATTATATAGAAAGAACACTAAGCTATACAGTCTAAAACCTAGAGTGCAAGATGCTGAATACCCAGCTAATCATGTTGTATGACCTTAGTAGGTCACCTAATCTTGAGTTTGGTTTTGCCTTCAGTTAGGTTTAAAAAAAAAAAAAAGAGGACAGAAAGATTGCTGTAATAATAGACTAGTGTGAAAACAATTTCTATAAAAACCTTACATAAACAGAAAACGTGTATTTTGTTATCAGGATTTTTTTTCAAACAGGAGTGATATATTCTTAATGTCTGTGGCAGCAGAATGGAGAACAGATTGGAAGCATGCAAAATTTAAAGCGCAGAGAAAATTCAGGCAGTTGTTATAATCTGTGCCACTAAAATTGGTGGGCAAGGGGAGGTGTAAAACTAAGGGACTTTTCTGAGGAAGAAGATGAGAGGAAAAAGCTCTTAGAAATATTCTGAAGTTATCAGCACCGGATATTATGTGATGATGGAAGAGTGTAGGATTGTATTTTGGTTTCTGGCTTGGGGAAGTAAATTGCTGGTAGGACAGTTAAAGGCGCAGTGGGGAATGTGTAAATGTAAAGGTGAAATGAGGAGTGTCTCAAGGTTGAAATATATCTGGAAAATCGAAGTTGATGTGGACTAGCTGAATTAGAAATAAGATTTGAAGCCTGGCCCTGGGGCGCAGATTTTGGAATAACTGATGTGAATTATAATATGATAGGAGAATATGAATAGTGGAAGAGCAGCTTTTGTGATACTAACATTTAAGCAAAAAGAGAGTCAAGTCCTTTCCTCTTCCACAAGTTTAAAAAGATAGAGTTAAAAGACAGACAGACAGCTCTTGCTTCCTCTGGTTCATTGCTCAGCTGGCCACAGGATCAGCACTGGACCAGGTCAGAGCTAGGAGCTTCATCCAGGACTCACAAATGGGTGACAAGGGGCCAAACAGTTGAGCCATCTCTGCTGCTTTTTCCAGACCTTTAGCAGGGATGGGAAGTGGAACAGCCAGAAGACCAACCCATGCCCATGTGGACAGTGGATAAAATGCCAGCTCCAAATTTAATTCTAAGGTGATTAATATGTACATGAAATTAGGTATCCATTGGATTTGTTCAGGTGAGTAGTTGTGACTTTGTGAGGTCCTGTTGGGGAAAGAAAGCCTTTTATTTTATATCAGGGTAACAAGTGAAGGACAGTTGAAGTAGAAATTTGAAAGAACAGTGACTAAAGGGTAAGCAGGAAAACAGGAAGGGAGGAGGAAATGAGTATGTGAATTAGAGATGTTGTGGGAGGAGGGGAGGCAAAGACTTGTCCTTATTTGTATACTGAGTGGAAAAAGCCACATGAGTGAGGAAAGAGAAGGAACTGTTAGTTTGCAAGGCTACAGCCACGACATTAGAGCCAAAGAATAGGAGCAAAACAAAGTTGAGCTGAGATTGGTTTAAGGAGTATTACAAGGGTGCTTCAAAATGTTCATGGACAATGAATTAAAAAATAATGTCCATTTTACATGAGCCTCTTAAAATACCCTCAAATAAGAAAATCAGGTAAGATTAATGTGTAATGAGATAGAATTTGTCAGGAAGTGAGAGCTTCTCACATCCTTGTAAAGCAGTTAGCAGGAGATCTGTTGAACTTAATGTATTAGTGACCTGGTGAGACCTGTGACGATGTGGAATTAGAGAAGGCTGTGCTGTACACAAGTCAGAGGATTACAGATCATCTTTGAAGAGTTTAATAAATCAGTGACTTTATAGATCTTCAATCTGTATGAGATTCCTTCTGGAAAATTTGAGCATAGATAATGCTGGCATTAGGATAAATGCTTTTAAGCAAGTATTTTAGTAGTATGTAAGAATCATGACCAAGTATGAAATACTCTGATAAATCCTGTGTGACCCACTTTACTGGGAAAATGGTAGTGATTAATCCACAATCAGAGGACACAATCATAAGCAAGCTGATCTTATAGAATATACATAGATTTACTTCACTTCTGTATCCCTACTGTAGTTGTAATTATTTTTAGGCTTAAAATTTAATCTGCTTTCATAAATTTTGCTGGCCTCAACATTTTTTTGTTATATGGACAAATATATGAAGATAAGTATATAAACATACACATAAGCCTATATCAGACAAAACATTTTATCATTAACTGCCAAAAGACATGAATACAAAGAAAAATGCTATGTACATCTTTTGGATGAAAACATTAAAAATTACGTATAAATTTGAATCTCTCTCTGTGTCTCCCTAATCTCTTCCTCTCCTTTGCTGATACATACTGAAATTAAATTTTATAATCCTCTTTGTTTATATTTTAGTACATATGTCTGAAGTAGTAAATATATTTTGTATTTGTTGCATGTTTTAAAGTGTTCTATACTATGTGTGCATATCTGTTATCTTAATACATTTGTGTTATATTATGTATTTGCTTTATTCAGTGTTGTATTTTTCAGGTTTTTTGTTGTATTTCATGATAGAAATACATTGCAGTTTTCTAACTTCATTATTGCAAATTATACCAGTATAAATATTGAGCCAGTTCTGATTTCCTGTTCTGTAAATATAGAAAACAACTGTTAATTAAAAGAGTTTTTAATACTAATTTTTCTGGTTATAAGTTGTGTAAATATCTTCCCTGTTTGGTATTTTATCACTTTATTTGACTGTGTCTTCTGTTGAAAAGAAACTTTAACTTTGACAAGTTTATCATTTTATTTATTTTTTAAGGACATTTTGAGTTTTGTCTTAACTCTTCCTGTCTTCTAAGGCAGCAAAATTTTGTTCTGCATCTTTAAAAATATGCACTTTTGCTTTCACATTTGCCTTTTGAATCTGCTTTGTACAGTTAGTTCTGCTATAGCACAGCATGTGTTCATCACTAAGGTACATAAAACCATGAATTAAAACCACAGGACATGTGCAGAGAGTGGGGATTGGGTTACAATACTCAAAAGCTTGTTAATGGCGGTTTTTAAAATAATAAAAATGGTGCTCGCTTCGGCAGCACATATACTAAAATTGGAACAATACAGAGAAGATTAGCATGGCCCCTGTGCAAGGATGACACATAAAATAATAAAAATGGAAGCATTATTTTACATATTCCTGTTTAAAAATTCTCAAGTGTCAGAATAAAGGAAACTTTAGTTTGAGGATGAAGTTTGCTTCTAGGACAGATTCTGAAGGGTTACAGCTTTTTGTACAACTTTTGAGTTGTAGAATCTTATGACATTTTAACAGCAGATGTAGAAGGTGTGTCTTAAAATATTTGAGTTGTTTGTATTGTGCAATATTTCTGTGCAGTTTAATGGAGATGGGTAGTTTTCTATGCCCACCCAGTTTTTTGTTTTGTTTTGTTTAAGAATTGTTTTATTTTTCTGAAACAAAGTTGTATCTTGCATCTGTTAACTAATTTCCCCAGTGACTGCAGTGGCTCATTCTAGTCCAGGATTCCAGGAGAGACTCCAGGAGAGTCCCGTAGGGGACAGGGGGCAGTTGGGCCATCTTTCTTTGCTTTCTTATGTGCATTAGCAGGGAGCTGGCCTGGAAGTGGAGCAAAACTGCGACTAAAACGCATTCATGTGGACTGGTGAAGCAGGCAGCGGATTAACTCCTGAGCCAAAAAACTAATTTCAGTAAATAAGTGTTTGTTTCAGAGAGTTAGGACTAGGGTAAGGCACCTTGCATTTTTAGGGTCCTTTGGCATCTCATTTGCCTCATTCTGGTCTCAACCTGAGATGACAATGCTCAGGTTTACACTGTAATTTGTGCTTTATGCAAATTGTTTTCTAATGTATTGGTTGTTTACTAAGAACACTTAAAATAGGATCTGTTCTCTTTGTTGCATAGTACAGTTAACTATGCACAGTATTGTATAACAACTCTAGAACTTATTTTTGTTTTCTGTAACTGAAACTTTAAACTGGATAACAATGCCATTTTTTCCTACCCATTCCTTTCCTCCCTCCATTTCCTAATAACCATGATTCTGCTGTCAGTTTGTGTTTTTAATTTGCCATTAATTATTTATGAAGCCTAATATGGACATCCAGCCAGTTAGCTTTAAAATGTATTACAGAGACAAGACAGACAGTGATTTCTCATCTTATGGCTCAGTACCTAAATCTCTGGGCCAGCCAGTGCAGAATCCAGGAGTTGGCACTTTATGCTGGTCTTGCAGCTAAGCGTCTGGACCCAAGTATTTGAGGCATCACCACTGCCTTCTAGGGTGTACTTACCAGGAAGCTGGAATCCAGAGCTGAGCCAGAACTTTAACCCAGGCACTCTGAGAGGCAGACATCCCGTCGAATGTCTAAGTCACTCAGCCAAGTGCCTGTGCCTCTATCCCAAGTGAGAAAAACTTAAGCAGGAATCATTATCTACCCTTCCAAACAATGTCAGAATCCAGTAGTTTTTCATAGGAACACTACCACACCAGCAGGAAACAGATAATCCCTATCTTATAGCTACTTTGGGGAGGGGGGGGGAGTAAAACAGTAAAAGTTATCCTAATTTTGTTCAGCTTAGTAAAGGATAAAATATTGGTATGTGCAGAAAATTCTTATCAAATGTAATACATAATAGTATTAGCCGATGTTGAATAAATGGGAAATTCTCTGAATTGATAAACGGTTTCAAAGCCTACAAATTATCTTACCTAGTGGTAAAACTTTAGATGGTCCCATTATTAAGATAAAATGCTATCTCTTCACTTAAATTATTTTGAGGGTCCTAGCTAGGGAAGAAAAATTGGAATAAGAAAGAGAAGAGAAAATACATGTTTTGTAGTAACAAAATGGTTTTTAACATAGGAAAATATGGGGGAAGCTACAAAAGCTGTTTAGTTCAGAGGACTGATAGATATATATTTTTAAATGGTTATTTTCATGCAACTATAAAATATGACTATTAGAATAATATAAAATGTGCATACCAAAAGAATTATGATGTTCCTAAGAATAAATCTAACATATTAAGACCATTAAGGAGAAAAAATTAAATAACGCCTGAATAATGGAGAGATGTCCTGTGTCTGTTGGTGAGAAAACTCAACATTGTACAGTAGTTTCCCCAAAATTAGTTTAATGCAATTCAAATCAAAATTGTAGTAGATTTTTGGGAAATCTAATAAACTAATTTTAGAACTTAATTGAGAAGCAAATGATCAGGAATAACTATGATAATTTCAAAAATAATAAACTGTAGGAATTTACACTAAAATAGTTTGATTTGGAAAAGATATTAAGAAAATCACACACTTAAGGGATCTTTAGACAGTTCCTGAGGAATAATATAGAAAAACTATGTGTGGATCTCAATTTTTTAACCAAAGTACATATTTTTGAACAAATGTAGTGTTTTTTTTTAAGTAGGTTTTTTTTTTTTTAAGATTTCTTTATTTTTATTTGAAAGGCAGATTTATAGAGAGAAGGATAAAGCTCTTCCATATGCTGAAATGACTACAAAAACCAGAGTTGAGTGGATCTGAAACCAGGAGCCTCTTCTGGGTCTCCCTCAAGGGGACAGGGGCACAAGGTGTTAGGCCATCCTCTATTGCTTTCCAATTCCATAAGCAGGGAGCCAAATCAGAAGTGGAGCAGCTGGGACTTGGCCTGGCACCCATTATGAGGTGCCAGTGCTTGCAGGTGCAGGCAAATTAGCTTGCTAAGCCATCATGCTGGCCCCAAGTTTTTTTTTTTTTTTTAATGTCTTTTTTTTTTTCAAAGATTTATTTTTATTATTTTTTCATTGGAAAGGCGGATATACAGAGAGGAGAGACAGAGAGGAAGCTCTTCCGTCCGATGATTCACTCCCCAAGTGAGCGCAACGGGCTGATACTATGCCGATCCGAAGCCAGGAGCCTCTTCCGGGTCTCCCACGCGGGTGCAGGGTCCCAAAGCTTTGGGCCCTCCTCGACTGCTCTCCCGGGCCACAGGCAGGGAGCTGGAAGGGAAGCGGGGCTGCCGGGATTAGAACCGGCGCCCATATGGGATCCCGGGCGTGCAAGGCGAGGACCTTTAACCACTTGCGCCACCGCGCCGGGCCCTGGCCCCAAGTTTTATTTATTTTTGAAAGATCAGGGGACTGTTCTTCTACCTACTGATTCCAAATACTTCTGGACTAGACTAACAACAGAGACCTGGACCATCTGAGTCTCCCAAATGGGTTTCCAAAATGTGAATACTTGCGCTATTGTATGCTGCCTTGCGGTTACATTAGCTGGATGAGGGATCGGAGATCCATAGTAGCAGAGACTGATGTCAAGTCACAGGTCATGCCTTAAGCTGCAACAATCACAACACCAGTCCCATGCGAGATTCTTAAAATATACTGACATCCAGATTAAAATAATTAAAACTATGACATTAGCACAATAATATACACATAAATGGATGCACTAGAGGAAAATATTTCTTCATGTGACAAATATTTGTAAAAGAAAAAACATCAAGTCTTGTTTAAATTGCAAGGAAGAACTAAAAATTTCTAATGAGTGATATTCAGCTGATTATAATTTTAGAAAATAAGCTTTTCTTAAACATAGTCCTTCGGTTTTCCTCTTGTCACAAATCTTAAATTCTACAGTGCGGGGGTTTTCAGTTGCATAACCCTGCCAGTGGGTTTGGAGTGCATAGAAAATGTGGCATACTGCATACCTACTTTTAGGAAATTAAACTGCTCATGAATATTCTTTGCGAATTATGAGGTTCTGTTAGAATGGGCCCTTTGCTTTAGCTATTTTTAGATATAACTATTGTTTTTTATTCATCAGGTGCTGTGTGTGATAAGTACAGAAACATTAGATGGATGATCCCCTGAACGCTTTACCTGTACTATTAATTACACATACGAGCTAATATACTTTATTTACTTTTGAGTGTGCAGTTGATTGTGGGTAAATGGAGACCAGGGGAAATGTTTCTAGAACAGGGTTCAAGATAGGAACTAGTGACAAATCCGTGACAGCCAGTTCATTGAGGCCTGCAGACAACGTCTAGTTCCATGAAGAGCAGAAAAAATTGGACAGCTCTCCTGGTCAAGCTTTGACGGTATCCAGGCAAATCAAGATAAGGTGAACTAAGGTCAGCCAATGGACCTTGAGAGGATTTGCTCCACCTTAGACCAATGAAATTAGCAGCATCTCAGAACTATTGAAACCACTTAAACATACTCCAGAACATGCTCCACATTGGGGACCCTGGAATGACATCAGGTGGCCGTCCCCCATTCCAGGATACTGATGTGGCCCTCTCCCCTTCTCTCCCCACTTTCCCCAGATACAGCAAGAAAAAAAGGAGATTGGAGGCAGTTGTCTCATCCACTTTCTGCATTCCTTAACCCACCCCATGCTAATCGATGTCCACATGGGCATGCATCCCTCTCAACTATGTAAACATCATCAAAAATAGCATGGATTATTAAAAAAAAAACACTAGTGACAAATCCATATTTCATAGGAGGTATAATGTTCTCAGAAAACACTTTTAGTTTTTGTGAATTATAATGTCTTTAATCGTGAACCCTTAAAACTTCCTGTCGCTGATGAGAAGCTAATTCTAAATAAGATGAATATAGTTTTGATAATGCTTCAGTGCTTGTGTATCATACTCAAAATTTAAAAACCAATTCCATTAACCAAAGCAGAATTTACCACTGTGTGAGAAAGTTTTTCTTTTTATTAGCTTTTATTGGCAGAGTGCCTAATAATTTTAAGGTTTTTGCAAATATTTGATTATAATTATTGTAATCAATCTGCTAACCTTTGTGAATTAACTTCCCAACCTTCAAAGACGGTAAACTACATAAAATTGATATACAGCATTAGCAGGTCTCTTGTACAAGGAGCATGTTTTGGCTTCTATTCTATCACATTGTGTTATAAATTTTGATTATTAAAAATATTTGAATTGTTCTTGAGTTAAGGAGTATTTTCTTGAATGTCAGTCACATGTTTTTAAAAGTGTTGATGATGGGGCCCAGTACTATAGCCTAGTGCCTATAGTCCTCACCTTGCATGCACCAGGATCCCATATGGGCACTGGTCTGTGTCCACTCCTTTCCCTGCTTGTGGCCTGGGAAAGCAATCGAGAATGGCCCAAAGTCTTGGGACTCTGCACCCATGTGGGAGACCTGGAAGAAGCTCCTAGCTCCTGGCTTCAAAACAGCTCAGCTGCAGCCATTATAGCCACTTATGGAGTGAACCAGCAGATGGAAGATCTGTCTGTCTCCCCTTCTTTCTTTAAATCTGAGTTTCTAATAAAAATAAAAACTTTAAAAAATATTGCCAATTAAGAGGGATGCCAGCATGGTGATATGATGAAAGTTACACTTGTGCTCTGGTTTATATGCCAGCTGCTCCACTGTCAGTTTAGCTCCCAGGATGGCCTTGAGTCCCTGCCACCCACGTGGGAGACCTGAGAAGTTCTTGGTTCCTGGCTTTGGCCTGGCTCAGCCCCAACCATTGCAGCCCTCTGGAGAGAGAACCAATAGATGCAAGATTTCTTCTTTCAGTCTCTTCCTATTTCTCTGTAACTGTTATTTTCAGATAAATGAATGAATGAGGAAATCATTAGGGATTTAAAAAATTTTTTCAGTACATGTTCTCAATCTGTAGACATTTATAATAAAAATAATATTTGTACAAATGAACTTTTTTCTAAATGGCATAATAATAGTATATAATCTTTTAATATAGGCATGTAGTTTATAGTAAATGAAATATCAAAAATTACTATTCTGCTGTTCATGTATCTCCAGGTATTTTCTTTACATTTTCTTTCTTTCTTTTTAATAGGTACCTAGTTGATAGTCGCTGGTTCAAACAGTGGAAAAAGTATGTTGGCTTTGACAATTGGGACAAATACCAGATGGGAGATCAAAATGTGTATCCTGGACCAATTGATAACTCTGGACTTCTCAAAGGTGATTATTTTCTTTCTTCAATCAGGTTTACAAGTGTGTTATATTTAAATATATAAATATCAATGGATGTAAATAGAAATGTTCATGCAAATTGGTCTTGGAATTTCTTTGTATAATAGATTTGACAATGAACTCAGGCTGAACTATACATTGGTTATTCCATATCATCACAAATTTCATTTATAATGAAATAAGGATTTAATTCTGTTTAACTCTTCAAATGGTATGAACGTAAATGACAGAACATTGTGGTATTATTCTGGAGAAATGCTGTATCATTGTTAATAGCACATGACTTTTTTTAATTTGAAGGAGCTCTGATGAAGTTTTGCTTTTTTTATGAATTTATTTATTTTTGCCTGAGAATCAGAGTTGCAGAATCAGAGAATCCATGTGCTGGTTCACTCCCCAAATAATCTGAAGCTAAAAGCCAGGAGCTTCTTCCAGGTCTTCCACATGGATACAGGGGCCCAAGGCCATCCTCTGCTGCTTTTCCAGGCATATAAACAGTGAGCCTAGTGCGAAACGGAGCGTTAAAGGCTGTAACCAGCATTCATGGGATGCTAGTGCCAAAGGATTAGCCTGGCACACTGCCATGCTGGCTTGACATATTTGAGTTTTTTGCATTAATCTTCTTTACCCCTCATTACTTGGCATTTCTTTGCTACCTTTTACTATATTGAAGAAAATAAAGTATTTGCGTAAGTACCAGATCTTTTATTTCTAGTCTGGATGGCATAGCAAGGACTAGATTTACCCTCCTACCTGAAACACCTAAAGCCCTTCAGAAATTATGTGAGACTGGGATGTTCAGTAAAAAAGAAAAATAGCAATCTCCAAGTGATAAGGAACAGAAAAGATGAACTCTGATTCCTTTTAGCTTATTGAATTGAAAGGGTTTCTGAGACATGGCACAGAAAGGAAAAACCCATGCAGACTTTCACATTCTGCTTTAACTGTGGAGTCAGAGTTTAAAGTCCAGGTTGACCAAGGCTGTTCAAGTTTCCAAGAGTGAGTATCCGAGAGGAACATGCAGCTCGGAAAGCAGCTTAGTGACCTGTTGCTCCTCAGCCTCAGTGATGCCGTCGAGCAGCCACAGGTGATGTAAACAACAGCTAAAAGAATCAGGGCTCATAAGCATCAGGATGCTGTCCCAGCAGCCAACACAGAAAGCCTCATTAATCGTGGAACACACTTTTGAGAGTTGTTGACAGTGGGAAAATTAATTTTTTGCCCCAGTAACCTAAAAGCATCAAACTGTTTTCAGATAATTTAACTGTGTCTCAGAACAAAATTCAGGAGTATTTCAGGAATAAAAAAATGTGTAGTATCCCACAACATAAAATTTATATCTTGGATTTGATTAAATATTACCAGACATGCAAAGGAGCTAGACCATATCATGACCCACAAAATGGAATGTCAATGTTAAAGATCTCACCTTTGCAAAAAGTGAGAAATGAATAGAAGCAGATGAGACAAATATAAAACAAATGACAAATTGGTAGATTTAAACTGAGCTTTATGAATAATCACAGTAAATATAACCCACCTCCTTTAAAAGTACAGTCTGTGAGATTGGTTAAAAAAGACCCACTGTCAGCTGTTCATGAGATCTCCCGTAAGTTTACACGGTTACATTAAAAGAGATGGAAAAAGATATGCCTGCCATGATTAGCAAGTTTGACTCCCCAAAAAGTGGGACTCACTTGTATTAGCCTCTCCTGTTGAGTGTAAGTAGAACTGGTGAATAGGATGAAATGTCATTCCTGATTATGTTTTATGGCAAAAGGGAGGTTATCCTAGTGAGATAAATTTAACCATATGTGCCCTTTAAACACAATGAGATTTCTCCAGCTTGTGACAGAAGCAGCAGAAGAAATTAGAAATTCAAAGAAGAAGACAGGCTGAACATATCATTGCTGGTTTTGGGGTGCAGGGGATCATATGAGTCACATGGCTGCAGCCTCTAAGGACAGACAAGTCTGATGCTGGAACAAGGAACTGGGCTTCCAAATGAATTCTTCAGATTAGAACCCCATATGGCTGATATCTTGACTTGTGAGACCCTAGCACAGAATCTTCTGGAGCCTACCTGAACTGCTGACCCATGTTATGGATGTATTGGAAGCCATTATGATAACTTGTCATGCAGCAGTAAACATGCTAACACTATCAAGAGAAAGCTGGAATGACTGTATTAACATCAGACATTTAGTTTTAGAACAAAGATAGAAAATTACTTTGTAATCACTGGAATGGGACATTTCTCTCCTTAATATATACCTGTTTAATAGTATAAGTTTGTGAAGATAAGTGACAGTGGGAAGGTAGAACAGGAAGTTCCAGTCCTTCATCTGCCCTAGACACAAAGCTTTAAGTTTATCATTGCAGGCAGACAGATGTAAATCATTTTAGGAGATTCGGAGGCCATGGAAAAATTTGTGATATACCAAATGAGTGGGGCAATATGAAAATGGTGACATAGAAATAAGAGTGGCTTCATTTTGACCATATCAGCCTCCCGCTAAGCTGGCACTGTTTGCAACCAAAAGATTATCGCAATGCAGAATTTCACCCTTTAGTAACAAGAGACGGTTTGTTTCACTTTGAACAGAGTCCAGATGCCTGGAAGAAGTTATCCAGGAAGTAGGAAAGGTGGTTTCTATACCTAGACTATGGTGCAAGACCAAGAGAAGGCTAAGGACCTGAGGCTTTTCTCCTTGGAGGGAAGGAGAGGAGCGAAGCATCCTTCTACCTGGCTTCTGTCAGATGGCATTCTTTTTGACAGAACAAAGGGACGAATGACTTGCTGCATCTGCTGTAGTTGTACGATATTGGGAGAAGGTATAGAACCTAAGGTTTGTCCACCCAAGGAGGAGAAAAAGAACTAGGGTGTGTCACTAGTGTCTTAGCCTTTCAGTGCACAGTCTCAAGGGCTAGCTTCTCTCTGATCTCACCCCATGTACTGCTAGAACCCAAAGAATTTGTGGGGCAGTTAAGAACAAAGGGAAAGGGACAACTTACTGCACCCAGCATAACTTTATAGGATAAGGAGAAGGGAGAGGAATAGAGTGTGCCTCCCTCTGGTGTATAGGCCCATATTATGGTGATCAGATATGATAAACAGAAAGGGATGATGGGTTTTCCTGTAGGTGGAAAAATGAAAACAATGAAATTCACATTAGGAATGCACATAGGCAAGTAAAAAAGAGATATCTATTTAAAAAGCCCAGGTTTATGCATGTCTACTAATAAAAGCTTTTCCCTGTCAAAATCAGTTGCAGACAAATGTAAATCCTTTATGGAAAGGTTCAGAAGCTGTTGAAAAATTTGCAGTATATCAAATGAGCACAATATGAAAACAGTGACATAGAAACAAAAGTGGTTTCATTTTAACCATATCAGTTTAGGAGAGGTGTCTGTCTTCATTGTACATACACCTATATAAAGCTACAGGAAAACATGATGTGCATATACACATAGAAAAGCAAATGTCTATAAACTAAATAAATGGAGACCTATAAATAGCCAGAAAAATTCAGATTATTTCTAAAGAAGCTCAGAAAGTTTGAAAACATGGACAACTAAGCAAAAATCAAGGGATGAAATTTAATGTAATGAAAATTATCATTCAAGAGATTAAACAAAATTAGGAGCTACAGAGCTGAAAAATATTGAAAATCTTTCAATAGCTAAGTTGATTGAAAAGATCGATTGGTAAATTCAAATTTGTTATTTCAGATTATCCTGAGAGAATTACTGTCTAAAACACCTCAGTTCTGGAAAGGGAAATGGATATTCAGATTTTCAGACCCAAAGCATTGAACAACATGCTAATTAACTTGATTTAACTCACATTTTCAGGAGCACTCCTCTTAAAAACAATGCATTCTTTTCAAGTGTACATACAAGTGTACACCAAGACTTTAAGAAGATGAAAGCCTGGTTCAATAAAATTAAAAGAATTCAAGTCACATGAAATGTGTGCTCTTATGACAGTGGAATAAAGTTCGTTTTAAGGGAAACAAAACCCTGTAGAAAAAGTAGCTGAAAGATTTGAGTAAATGCTTTGCCAGAGAAGATACAGTTTTCAAAAGTACATACAAAAATGCTCTACATCATTAATATTGAAGATTAAAATGACCGACAGGGCCTGGCACTGTGACATTGTAGCTTAAGCCTGCACTGCTCCACTTCAGTCCAGCTGTCTTCAGAAGCTGCTGAGAAATCGCCTGGGCTCTGCACTGAGTGAAACCTGGGCAAAGCCTCACACCCAAGCCGGGAGTGAACCAGCAAATGCAAGATGTCTCTTTGTCTCTCCTCCAGGCCCCATAAATCTGCTTTCAAATAAAATTAAACACAGCACACACTAAGGCATACACTACTCATGTATTAAAATGACTAGTTTTAAAAAATTTTAGGTAACATAAACAAATTTAATGTGCTTCCTAGGGACATTTTCAAAAAATATTTTATTCTGCTTATCAGAAGCTATTATTATAAATGATAAAAATCAGCTTAACTTTTGTAGAAAACAGCACAAGAGTTGATTTTTTTTTTTGAGATATGTTTATTTTTATTGGAAAGGCAAATAAACAGAGATAGGAGAAGGAACAGAAAGGAAGATCTCCTGTGCGATGATTCACTCCTTAAGTGGCCACAACAGCCGGAGCTGTGCTGATCCAAACCCAGGAGCTAGGAACTCTTCCGGGTCTCCCACGCCGGTGCAGGGTCCCAAGGCCTTGGGCCGTCCTCAACTGCGTTCCCTGGCCACAAGCAGGAAGCTGGATGGGAAGTGGGATCCTGGTGCGTTCAAGGCAAGGACTTAGGCCGCTGTGTCAGACTGAAGATGTGATTTTTAAATTTTTACTTTCCCTAAGTTTTCTTCAAGGCATTGTGTTAGAAAAAATAGGCAATAAACAGATTTTTGTTTGATCTGAGTGTATATGTGACTTCGAGCAAGTTCATCAGCAACCCTTAGTCTGTCAGTTAAAATAGAGTATCTGCTTCATCATGTTGTTTTAAAATTTGAGATACTGTATTTTCTTTGTCTTGAAAGTTGAGATAACATAGCTTGAGTATTGAATGAGATAACGTGGTGCTCCATAGTAAAACACTGCACTCTACCTGTAACTTTCTTAGTATCCCTGTGTTGATATTCTGCCTCATGGAGGTTGCTACCCTGTGCAGTTGTTTAGAGATCAGAGCCAGATAGCGTGGTATATGTGTAGTAACTCAAAATGTGTGAGTTTATTTTTTCTATTTGTATTGATACTGTCAATATGCATAGATAAAATTACTGAGATTTGTTTTGTGATGTGAGACAAAAAGTATGCAAAATCACAAAATACTAAAATATTCAGTGGGTTTGTGTCACTGAAGACTTAAACAGTAGCCACTGTTTAAACATTAGGCATTCATTTCAAAATCAGCTTCACAGTATGACTGTTGGATATATTAACAGTTCAGACCCCAAAGGCTCTCATGTAAGAGCGTCACTGGCTTATCCTAGGGAAAGCATGACAATAGTCAACTAAAAAAATGTTTCTCAGAGGAAACTAAAGTGTTTGTAGGAGTCACACCATTACATTCTGGGCATATCGGTCAATTGTATGAACTTCCTAATTAAGTATGAATAAAGATTGATTTTAAAAAGATGTCAGTATCTCAAATTTTTTATTCTAAACATCAAGATAAAATAGGAAATAATGATGAATTATATTTTTGTATCTGCAGTGAACGAGTCATTAAGTAGTTCATGTAGATTATTCTATCAAAAATATTTAGAGTCATTTTGAAAATGCCACTCTATTTGACCTTACAAGTTAATATAACTTCCTGTTAATATAAGTTCCTGTTAGATCTTAGCAGTCATTCACAGTCATTCCATTAAATCAATCCATGCAATTTCGCACATTACGTAAGCCATGAGATTATGTATTCCTTAGCAATTTTCCATGTCACTGAATCTCAACTATATTAATTCAGTGATAATTCTATCATGATTTGTTTTATATTTCTTCCATATATGTTATGTTCATATTTTTCTTTCGTTGCTTTTCTGCTATGGCCCTATTAAAAAGAAACTTTAAATATCTTGCTTACTTTAATTTTTATCTTTTTTTTTTAATAATAACAGATATGCTCTCTCTCTGCCTGCATTCCTTCTATAGATTTTAGTATCGCGTAGCCTTCCTTCAAATAAGGCATCATATGAATAAACATAATAAGCTTACTTTTCTTAGCATTGGAGGGACAAGTTTGCATCTCTGTGCTCAGAATTCTGTCACTTCAAGCTGCCTAATTAAAGATGTTCTGTAATTGAATGCCCAGACTTTCCAGTACTATCTTAAAGGTCAGATAACTTCTTTGAATAAGGAGTTGTACATTTGATAGTAAAAATAAAAAACTATAGCTGCTTAATTTACACTTCAGGTTTTCTGAATATTTGCAATGTTTTCTAATACTTCACTAGATCCATGAATTCTTCAAAGTGTCTTAACATTTACATAATTTGAAGTTTATGTAGTATTTGATGAGGTGAGCGTAATAAAACATTAATGAGAAATAAAAATAAAACATTAATAGGAAAAAGCAAACACAAATTACTTTTTACTATTTTAGGTTTCTAGTTGTTTTGTTTTTGTTCAAAGTTGAATTACTCTTGCTATTTTACACCTTTATTATTAATTTCAAATTAAAAAAAAAAGATTGCAAGACAGTGACGTGACAGCCCTCAACCCATTTCCCCTATAAACATCTTGTTTTAGTACTTTTTAGAATTAATGAATGTCAGTTTCTTTGATTTTCTGAGTTTACTGCAAATGTTTTCAAATTAATACTTTGCATCAATAATTAAAAATTCACAACTAAGTAAAGAATGAGCTTAAAAATAATACTTAGTTTGTGCCTGCTGTTAAAATTGTTTTCTCTTTTGTTTCATCTAAAACATAGCTTTCTGAAACTTTGATGTGATTTTATGATCATAGACTGATCCTAGAAAGAAATGACCTTTTATTAATACCTTCTAATTTTTTTCCTGAGTCTTGATTTATATCATTACATTTAACGTGGATAATGTATTCTCATTATTAAAATGCTACAAAAAGTAAACTTTTTTTCCAGCATCTGTTAATCAAAACTTAGAATAATAGAATCTCCTTTAAGTTGGTTGTGACTCTTTGACCTATTTCTGTTGCTGCATGTTGAAAAATTAAATTACTAGAAGTAAAAACTCTAAGTGCCCAATTAGAATTTTGATGGACATATAAGTTAATAAATTGCTTTGAGATCCTTGGCCTGCCTTGCACTAAATTTTTAAATTTTTAGAAGTAAATTATTAGAAGTATATCATAAAAACTATTTCCATCTACTGTCTTGGGAAGAATCTGAATTATAGGTCTTCTGGAATGATGACAATTTTCAACAAATGTGTTTGGGATAATTGCAAAAGTTTATTTGGTTTGCTTTTGAATTTTCTGTATCAACTGATGCTAGAATGACTACTATTGCAGTGTAAGTGATCTCTCATAGTTGAAATATTGGAATAGTATTCCTCTGTCAGGACTGTTGGCTAACAACCACACCTTAGTACTTTTAAGTGTCTATTTAAAGAGAAATTGTGTTTTAGGAAACTATTGGTTAACAAATGTTACACAATTAAAGCTTTTTTTTTTTTTTTACAGTTTAAGTTTTAAACCAACAATTCATTTTGACATATGTAGGGAATTTCACTCTCTTCAGAGCTTCTCTCAAAAATACTTTAAATTATTAAATTACCCTGCAAGATTTCAAGAGATTTGTGGTGGATGCAGCCAAAGGGCTTAGAAATATATGCTATTCTTTCCTTTTTATACATTGTTTCTAATTGTCCTCTTGCAGATGGTGATGCCCAGTCTCTTAAGGAGCATCTTATTGATGAGTTGGATTACATACTGTTGCCAACTGAAGGCTGGAACAAACTTGTCAGCTGGTATACATTGATGGAAAGTCAGGAGCCAATAGCACGGAAGGTACATTTTAAGATAACTGAATATAAATATTGTTTTTCTTCAGTAGTTAACATTTTATTCTTCTTTCAGTGAGTTAGAAAACAATTTAACTTATCTTGGAGGAAAAGGCCAGCAAAATAATGTATATTAAATACTGAGTACAGCTAACATATGTAGAACATTAGCTTTTAATAGCCACTGTACTAAAACTATTAACATATTGTCAGCTCATGTAATCTTCATACATTCTATGAGGCAACTATTACATTTTACAGATTTATTACATCTTACAGATGTGAAAATGAGGACAAAAGTTTTTTGTTTTTGTTTTCTTTTGATTTCTTTATTTGAAAGGCAGAATTAGAATAAAAGAGAGATCTTCATTCCCGGTTCACTTCCCAGGTGACCACAACAGCTGGAGCTGAGCTGATCTGAAGCCAGGAGCCAGAAACTGCTTTCCCCAGTGGGTGCCCAGGCCCAAGCACTTAGACTTTTTTCTGGGTGCACGGTCGGGGAGCTGAATCAGAGCTGGTGCCCATGTGGGTTGCTGGTGCTGTAGATGGGGCTCTTCCTACCACAGGAAGGTGTCAGCCTGAAAGGTCAGAGTCTTTTAGGAAGTAACACTAGAAAGATAGAAAATTTGGCAGTTTGACTATTTTGTATGCTACACTGATTATTGGATTAAGAAATAGAAATTAACGAAAAACTTTTTCTCTCACTTGGTGATTTAAAACTGATGTGTGAATGGATATTGGTTGTTAGAATATCAAATACTTAAGGTAACTTAGCCGACTTGACATTTGATAATTTATCCAGAGGCTGTGCCCCCAGCCCTGACTCTCGCAACACTGGGTCCTATGGCCTAGCAGGGGCATTTCTCAAGTTCCCCTATTAGGCCCAGTTCCAGCTCCAGATCTTGCGTGTGCCAGCAACTGCTGCAGCCCAGCCTGACATCACTGGCCCCCAGGCCTATTCCACATCCATTTTGGCTCTCATGAGCACCAGCAGGTTCTGGGGCATAGCCCAGTCAGTCCCAACACTAAACTCGGCCCACATGCCTGCCAAGGGGTGCTGCAGCCTTGCCAGCCTGGTCTATACCCAATTCTAGCTCTTGCACACTTCAGTGGGAGCTGCAGCTTAAGCAGGAGAGTCCCCAAAGTTTCCCCTTCTAAACTCCTCCATCTCTGCTCCTTCACCTACCTGAAAGTGTAATAACTCAGTTGCTGAAAGACCCCAGAATTCATTCCTCCCCTGCAAACATGCCCTCAGTCAGACTCTCACTCCCACATGTCCCCAGACCCCCTTCCCCAGCCTGCCAACTTGCGAGCTTACCTACCACCTGTCAACTTGGGAGCTAGGATGGCATGTCCCAGACTGACCTTCCCTGCCTTCCCCCCTTATCTTTAAAAAAACACAAAAACTATGATAGGCAACTCTGCTGATACACTGGTACAGCTATTTGACTAGGCGCTCCCAGTGATAGAACACTTGCGTAAGCAGTTACCATCAACTAGGGGAGATTTTAACTAAAGTCTAGATCATCTTTCTGTAAAAAACTAGAAACAAAGCTTTACTCGCTGGATAGAGGAAAATTTGTGTCCAGAATATCTTTAAATGCATTAAAACTGTATGTCTTTAATCTTAATAATGTAGCAAATCATATTGTAGGAGGAAGTTTTCAAAAACAATGTTAAATAAATTAGCCTATAATTTCATTGCCATTCTTAAAACCTGATACATGAATTAGCTGTGTGCTTTTTTTTTAGTGTGTGTATATATATATATATGTATATATATTTTCTTTTTTGAAAGTCAGGTATACAGAGATGAGAGACAGACAGGAATATCTTCGAAGCAGGGCCTCTGGGATTAGAACTGGCACCCGTATGGGATCCCAATGCAAACAAGGCAAGGACTTTATAAACACTAGGCTACCACAGCAACCCTAGCTGTGTGTTTTAACCCTAGCTCTAGTACAGAACAAAGTTAAATATCTTCCTGGGCTCAGATCCTCTTCAACATGATTATAGTATCAAGCATTCAATTTAAAAAGAAACAAATAAACAAATAGATAAACAAATACAAAGAAATTTAAAAATTTGTCCAAGAAAAAAATGACCGCTAAAGAATCCAGTAATGGACTTACTAGGTAAACTTTTACATACTGTGCTTTTTGTGCTTTAAAAAAATAAAAGACTCAAAAGTATAGTGAAACTTGCATAGAACCAAATGTGATTTTTAAACTTAAATGTAATGTAAAATACAGACTTAATGCTTGAGTGTACCTAAACAGAACTGAAGAGAGAATTTGTAAATTAAGTTTTACCAGTAGAAATAGTCTCTATAGAAATAAAAAAAAATTGGAAAATACAGAAAAAATGAAAGCATGCATGGTATGTGATAAATGTAACCTAATGCATGTTTTTGGAATGTTAGAAGGTGAAAGAAAATGTAGTAGAACTAATACTTAAGGAGATAAGATGATTCAAGAAATGCAGTGAATCCTAAACAGAATATATGCAGATAACATGTGCCCAATAAAAATGTTGAAAAGTCAAAAAGAATTTTTTAATAGTAGCTAGTGCGATGGCTCAGTTGGTTCAATTAGCTAATCCTCCCCTACAAGTGTCAGGATCCCATATGGGCACTGGTTCATTCCCCTGCTGCTTCACTTTCCATTCAGTTCCCTGGCTTGGGAAAGCAGTGAAGGATGGCCCAAGTCCTTGGAACCCTGCACCCACGTGGGAGGCCTAGAGGTAGCTCCTGGCTTTGGATCTGCTCAGCTCTTGATGTTGCAGCCATTTGGGGAGTGAGTCAGTGGGTGGAAGATCATTCAGTCTCTTTTTCTCTCTGTAAATCTGTCCTTTCAGTAAAACTGAACAAATCTTTAAATATAATAGTAGCTAGAGAAAAAAGATAATCAAGATATTCAGAATATTCTTGAAAAGTACATATGACAATAAAACTATGGATTTCAAAATGTTTAGACCAAAGTTAACTTATGTTTTCATTCTGTTTATTCACAAGCTGTTTTGAATACCGTTATTATCTTGCAAGTAAGCATAAAACGAAGAAATGATTTCTCAGACAAGCAATAGAAGCCAGAAACAACACATTGTTTTTAAGGAATGCTAGTCTCTCACCAGGCGTGCTTCTCCACATCTTCTAAAAACACTGACAGTTTCCTTTTCCAACTCCTTGTCTTTTAGTTCTCTTCCTTACACTCTCAATTCTCTGTCTTTACCTTGAGCCAATTCTCATCCTGACTCCAGGAATTAGATAAAATTTGACACTGAGCATAGATGCTTATTAAGTGTTTTAAAATGAAATGAGTGTGCTATTACTTCAAAATACTCAACCTGTCCTTCAGACCCAGTGTCAAATTGTTTTGTAGTACCGGATTTCTCTATAGAATACATTCCTTCATACTTTTGCTGTGGGTAAATATTTGGAGTGAAGGAAAGCTCCCTGACCTTTTCACACAGTTAGAACAAAAATTGTAGTTTTCGAATATATTTAATGGTTTTATACAAAATACCCTCTAATTTTGACAGCAAAATGAACAAATGGAAGTTATATTTACTTTAATTTTATATAGACTTGTATTTTCCTCAAAAATTAGCCGCCTTTATTATGGCCATGAATTAATCAAGATATTTCTACATATCTGTAAATTTCAAGTTTTTGACAAGGAGCCAAATTTCTTCTCTTGTTTATAGCTTTTTTTTTTTAAATAAATCTGTGGAGGGTTTTTTTGTTTGTTTTGTTGTTTTATTTTTTAAGATTTGTTTACTTTTACTGGAAAGGCAGATTTACCAAGAGAAGGAGAGACAGATCTTCCATCCACTGGTTCACTCCCCAAGTGGCTGCAAAGGTGGGAGCTGAGCTGATCCAAGTCAGGAGCCAGGAGCTTCTTCCTGCTCTCCCATGTGGGTGCAGGGTCCCAAGGCTTTGGGCCGTCCTCCACTGCTTTCCCAGGCCACAGGCAGGGAGCTGGATGGGAAGTGGAGCAACCAGGACAGAATCCGTGGGATCCCAACACTTTTACAAGGGAGGATTAGCCTATTGAGCCATTGTACCAGACACACTTCCATCTTTTTTACTGCAACATAATAGTATATACTTCGAAAAATCTTTCTCTATAACCATCATACTGATTCATAAATGCACAGTATTTTCCTCTGCTGTGATACTATTGTTTCCTAGCTTTAACAATATATAATATCTTTTCAAATTAGCATAATTTTAAAAGTTTAGCAATGTTGTGCACTACTTTTAAAAATAATAAGATAAATATCTTAAAACATGTAGTATTGAATAGTGATGATAAATGTTTTAATAATGTAAAATCTTTTGAAAAGAGCTCTGGGAAAAATTCTGAATCTTGGGACCAGTGTTACGGCATAGTATATTAAGCTGCCACCTGTGATGCTGTGTCCTGTATGGGCAGGTTGCATCCTAGCTCCTCAGCTTCCAATTAATGTGCCTGGGAAAGGAACAGAAGATGGCCCAGATTCTTGGAACCCTGCCAAACACACTGGAGACTTAAAGGAACCTTCTGACCCCTGGCTTCAACTTGGCCCTATGTTGATGTTTTTAGCTGTTTAGATGACTGAAGCAGCAGATGGAAGATTTATCTGTCTGGTTCTCTCTCTTTTACTCTGCCTTTCAAATAAATAAATAAATAAAAATTAAATAAAATTCAAACAAATAAAATAAATCCTAAGAAAAAATTCTTAATCCTGGTAGTGTAGATTTTGAGAGAATGTTTTGTTTTCACACATGTTACTATCACATTTTGACTGTTCAGTCACCACTTTCCAGGAAAGCATCTATAGTATTGCAACATTTTTGTAACTCAATATGAATCACAGGGAATTTTTGTTTTTGTGTTTATTTTATATTTATCCCTTTTGATGCTGCTGTTTTTCAGATGCCATTTATCTTTTGTCATTGTTATTCATAGAAGTGGTTCCTGTGATTTATCTCAGTTTCAGCAACCATACTGTGATTAGTAGTACCTTAGTATTTTATTATTTTAGGAGTTTACTCAGATACTGTGTCTCAGAGCAGAGATTTATCGATAAGAATATTTGGTTCATAGTTTAAAGATTTACTTGTTTTTATTAGGAAGGTAGATAAACGGAGAAAAAGAGATCTTTCATCTGCTGGGTCACTCCCCAGATAGTTGCGGAGACCAGATCTGAGCTGACCTGAAGCTGAGAGCCAGGAGCTTTTTCTGGGAGGCCCATCTGGGTGCAGCATCCCAGGTCCTAAGTGGAGGGCTGGGTGGAGGGTGGAGCAGCCAGGCAGGACATAATTTGGCAGCTATGTGAGATGCCAACAGCACAGGGCAGAGGATTAGCATGCTGGCCTCTGATTCATGGATTTTTAACAACCACATTTACCTGCAAGTAAATTTTAAATATTAAATTATTAACATTCTTAAGCCTCAGAATAAATCGGCACAGTAAGTTTAAAATAAATCTTGTTAAGAGTTACAGTTTGTGTAGTAGCTTTATAAAATGAAAGAGATGTCCAGACTGTTACCTGTTTTAGAACTTTATCACAAGCATGACTAAGATTATACATGACAGCACATTAAAAAATTTCTCAGTGGATTAAATAGTAAGTACTATATAAACTAGGTTTGGTATTTTATTTGTTTTTTAGTTGCAACTGTTTTGCATATAACTAAAAGACAAGGTTATACATTCCTTATTGGATTGATGAAAGCCGTGAGCGTATCCAGCAGTGTGTTGGGGCCTCCCTTTGGCCATATTTGTCTAATGTATCACATATCAGTCTGATTACTATTTTTAGAAACTGTATTCATGACTGAAATCCAACATTTAACCTTTAGAAGATCAAAAGGAAATTTACTAAAAGGTGACCCTGATAGGTATATTTGCTCTTTTTATGTTTTATTTCTTGCATGCTTAACATCTTTTTCGCTTGTGGCACTGAATTATGAAGTGTGTATTTAAAGGTCAAAGTCATTTAAAGATTAAACTAACATCCTTTGCAGGGCCATCGCTGTTGATTATGACAGAAGTAATTGCAATTACAATTTTAAAAGTTGTATTTTTTAAAATAGACTCATAGCATAGCCATTGTTAAAACACATTTTGTAAAATATAACATTTTAGAGGTTTTCTGCTATGCATGATTATTAAAAGCTAAGTATTTCTGTATGTTTTAGTGCTGTACTTATCTATCTTGTATTTATATATAAAATAGAGAAAAAAGCATATACATATGAATGTTAGTTGTGAGTAAACCTCATCGTAAATGCTGAATTTATTTATATTTATAATTAATAGTGTACCAGAATATCTTCATAGAATAGAATGCCTTCCCAAGCTGTCAGTTAATGTTTTGTTATGATCGTTTATCTTCTGTTAAATATTAAAGCTTTCAAAAAAGTTTCTTGATTTTTTTTCCAACTATACAGTATCTGTTTTAAATAATTCCATGTTTTAATAGTTAATATTTTTCCCAGAGATCTGAATTTTTTTTCCAAAATCCTCTTTAGAGAAATATAATGCTATTAGAGAACATATATTGATGGCATTGACACTAATTTGTTTTTGTTTTAGGTGGTTGAACAGGGTATGTTTGTCAAGCACTGCAAGGTAGAAGTATATCTCACAGAATTGAAGCTCTGTGAAAATGGAAACATGAATAATGTTGTAACTCGAAGATTTAGCAAAGCTGACACAATAGGTAATGCAAGATCCCAATTCCTTTTAAAGCCACTGCAATTATGTATTTAGTGATAGTTCTATGTATTTTATGCTGCCTAGATTACAGCTATGTAAAGGTTAGTATATAAGCATTAGATTCTCAACCTTGGTTAAATAATGTCTACGTTTAGTGTTGGATTACTTATTGATCCTTGCCCTGTTCCGTATTTATTAAAATTACTTTAACATTGCATTGCTTTGCTTTTTAAAAGAGCAGTTATTTTTAGAATTTAGCACTTGAAAAATGTATGTCATGTTTGTAAATATAAATTGAAATAGAGCTTTGTATTTTAAATATAACTTAGGTAACATGGAAAATGGCAATTGGTTTCTCTAATTTTTTATACTGTAAATAGTTAAATATTTTAAGATAGGCTGAAATGATAAAATGATACATTGGTGGTTTTTTAAATTATGTTTTGCTATTTTAATTGATAAATTTTTTACTTGGGTTCCAAATCATATCAAATGTGAAGAGACCAAATTTTCTATGATTTATGCATCTATAAATATATATCAAAATATACATACTAATATTTATGCTAAGATCAGGAATGAGCTTAACAAAGTTTTTAAACTTCAAAACCTTTTAAAAGTATGTGACTTTTATTAAAATACTGTCCTTTTCAGAGAATTTGCAAATATAATGAAAAGCAGTTCTTTATTTTTAAGTAAGGCTTTGACAAAATAAGATTAAAAGTAATACCACTGTAAGATTTCCTTGAAAGGACCAATTAATAACTTTGACTAAAATGAAGTGTTTGTTAAGCTTATAAGTGAATTTTGCATTCATTCCTTATTCCATGGCAGGAAATATTTTTACCTCATATTTTTCTTTCAATATCCAGTGCTTGATTAATCTTAATGTTTTCATCAAATAAAATATTATGTTATGAGCTTTGTATTTCCTCTTAATTTATCTAGTACATTTTTGACTTCAAAATTCAAATAAGCTCGCTTTTCTAATATGAATCCTTAAAGTACTGGGATTTTTTTATATAAATATCATTCAATTATAATTATGGATGAACTGTTTAACTTTTGACTTTCCAGATTGATAGGACATATTCAGGTACATAAAACATTTCTTCCTCCTAAAGGTTTTCATTATTGTTTGTCATATTAGTATTTTATAGTAGGAATCTAATCTACCTAACAAGGGTAGTCTATTAAAATTAATTTGGAGACAAATTTTTAAAAATTATAGCAAATTGAAATATAAATGAGAAGGTGCCTCTTAAAAAAGTTGATAGAGATTGTTTTCTGGGTGCTTTAAAATTTTTTCTGTATCTCATTTTAATAGAAAACCCATATGTAAATAAGAAACCATCAGAGATCTTACTTTAGACTTGAAAACTTACATGAAAGTCAGCAACTGCTTAATTTCTGGATATAGAACAGCATTATGGATTTCTCATTAGTATTATTTAATAGTTTTTCAGTGTGAAGTGACTTATAAAAAGAATCACTGCTTCAAAAGTTACAATCTAGCATAGATTTTAGTCCAGCAGCGAGGGACTTTGTTCACAGAGCGGATAATCATACACACATACTGAGTGATGGTCAATAGTCAAAGTTTAAAACAGCAACAGACTTTTAAACACTGAGGGTCACAAAGGCATAAGGTAGGAGGGTCTGCAACAGGATGTAGTTTTGCACGCAAGGGGCGGGTCAGTCAGTGAACAGTGTGTTTTAGCATGCTGCCAGTAATTCAGCAGCATTTGCCAGAAGCACCTCTGTGATCTGTTACTGTTTCCATGAGTATGTCCTTGAATATTTACCATACTATACTGATGCTTAGTGCATTCAAGTTTTGAGATGCACTGTAAGATGTATTACTGATTTAATCCCTAATCAAAATCTAATTGACCACAAGACTATTGACATACAGTAGCTGTTAGGTGGAACATGAACAGTATTATTGCACTGACTTTAATTATGTAAGATAAGTGTATTTTTTGATATTTATTCAGGGAACATGTATGATTAAATTCAGTATTTTATAAATAGTAATTGTTCCAAAACCAGGTGTTTTAAAATTTTTTTAATTATTTATTCTGTATGTCTTCATATATTATTAAAGCATTTTGATTATAATTTTCTTTGATCTGTGAGACACACTATTGGCCATACTAAATAGATGTGTGATAGTTTGTAATGATATTCCTAAGAATGTCTTTATAAGTACCGAAGCTTACATCTGTGCTGTCAGATATGGAGATCTGTGTTATTTTGAACTAGTTAAGCTGCTGATGTTAAAAAGTTTCTTCAGTAATTTCTAATTAATTTAGAAATAAGGAAAATACATGGCTTACTGGGAGAATGAAAATTTATTATCTGTATAGAAGTTCTGTCAAACAGATGCTTTTTATTTTATTCATATATTCTAGTTATTCAAACTGTAAATTATATACATTTTAATATGTTATCCCTAGATTATAATGGAAAATTCGTGACATCTGTAGCATCCCTTAATCATACTTTAATTTTTGACTCCTACATGTTCTCAGGAAATATACTGGTTTTATAATGTGCCAAAAATTGAAGTTCATATAGAAATAGATGAACTTTATATAAAATATGTAATGAAGTCTTAGATTTCTCAGTTACCATTGCCATTTCATCCCTAAAAATTACACACGGGCATACTTTAATTTGTTTTTATGTTTCTTAAATATTTCTACTTGCTATCATACCAGTATTTCTAGTCTATGCATATGTTAAACATTTAGCTTATATTTCTTAATATTTATTTAAAAGGTTATATTTTAAAATATGTATTATTTGTGTCTTTCCCCTTTAAATCTAGATACAATTGAAAAGGAAATAAGAAAAATCTTCAATATTCCAGATGAAAAGGAGACCAGATTGTGGAACAAATACATGAGTAATACATTTGAACCACTGAATAAGCCAGACAGCACCATTCAGGATGCTGGCTTATATCAAGGCCAGGTATTGTCTTGCATTATTGTTTCCTTTAAGTTTATTATACATGAAGCTTTGGGGTTTCATCAAATTTAATGAATATCCCTGCAATACAAAATGGGTCCTACTGTTGTGTTTCCTGTTTCTAATTGTATCTAATTCATAACCCTGCTGGAATAGCCATAAATTTTGATAACTTTCTTGATTTTGGAGGTAATCTACTTATTTAGAAAAAAATTATTTTCAGTTAATAAAAATACCTAGTGAAAATAGGTCAGTAAACTGTAATGAAAAGTACGGTAGGTATTTTTGTGTTTGTAGGCCATGTAGTCTCTGTTGGAACTATAACTGCCATTGGGGTGAGGCAGAAGCAGCTATGGGTGGGTGATACCTAAGCAAATATGGCTGTGATCCACTAAACCTGTTTTCAATAGGCAGCTACCTATTTTTTTTATTTCAGGTGTGATCCAAAGAAATCAATACTTTTAAGACAGAGATGTTTAGTTGCAATTAGGAACTGAATTTGTCTTTTAAAAGTATCTCATAAGTTAATCTCTTTGCTCCATTCTCAGCACTTAGCTGTCGTAGTCTCTCTTTTTTAAGATTTATTTATTTTTATTGGAAAGGTTGATTTACAGAGAGAAGGAGAGACAGAGAGAAAGATCTCCCATCTGCTGATTCACTCCCCAAATAGCCACAACAGCTGTCATGGTCTCTGAACAACATTCCTCTATTTCCAGGTTCCCAACGTGTGTACTAGATCTTAATTGCACTAGAATATTCACCCAAAAATGTAGACTTCATTATTTCTCTTCAAAACTCTTTCCTGGCTCTGCATCAAATCCCGGCTCTTTAACCAGGCTATAAGTCATGATTTAACATCTTGTGAAGTCACCCAGTAACTTTAAATAGTCCTTGTGGTTTATATTCCAGTAGTTCCAAACTGAACTGCTTATAGTTTGCTAAACACACCAGGTTATTTATTTCATTCTGCCAGACTTTGGATGGCATCCCATCAGCCTGAAGTCTGCTTCTTCCCAGTCCCTGCAATCATCCAGAAAAAAATTAAAAATCATTCAAATGTACCAATGTGCCAACCTATTTCATACCATCTCCTAGGTTTATTCATCTTTCAAATTCTGATATAAATGTCAATACATCTTCAGCTTTCCTGTTTTTCTCAATATACATTGAGATATAGGATGTTTCTACTTTTAAATAAAACTTAACTTCCAAACTGGTTATGTTTATGTCTTTCCTATCATTGATTATGTACTTCAGTTATTTGTGTATTAAGCTCACCATTTAAATTGTGGAGTCCTTGTTTTGATTCAGTGATGCATCTTAGTTGCTTTTATTTAATACAAAACACAGAATCTGATGTTTCAGTCTATGCAACTTTTTGTTCTGTTTTATTCAAAAATTATTAAAACCATCTTAAAAATTTAAAGAAACTGAAGAATATTATTTTTTGGCAAATGCCTGCAATGTTAAATATTGTAAAAGAAAAACAACCCAAAAAAACTGATTTTATCTGCTACAGTCTTAAGTGAAATCTTACAAAACCCAATATTGCAGTTGAAAATTGCCTGACTGAAGCTGAAGTAGGACCTTGAACCTCCACCTCTAAGCCAGCACACCCTCGCCTGCCCAGCTAGCCAGCTGGGAGCGATGCATCTCTCTCCATAGTTCACATACTTCAGAATTCAAATTAGCTCTAGGAGTGTAATGTAACTCCCCTAAGATTCTTGAGTGTTTGTCCCCCTTCCCTCTGTTTCTGGTCTGTCTCTACTTTTCTGTGGGTCTCTAAGCCACAGTTTTATAATGTATATAATGGAGAAAATAAAACTCATAACCAAAAGATTGCTATTCTTTATAGATAGGTTTTTATCATATTGCAGATGAAAGAAGTGAAGTTAAATGTCCTTAAGGGCTTATTATCTTCTGGAGTGTTTCAGAAGAATGCTGAATTTCCTGAAATTTTTTTAAAGATGTATTTATTTCTATTGGAAAGTCAGAGAGGAAGATCTTTGGTCTGCTGATTTACTCCCCAAGGGACCGCAACTGCTGGAGCTGAGTGGATCTAAAGCCAGGAGCCCAGAACCTCTTCTGAGTCTCTCACAGAGGTGCAGGGTCCCAAGGTTTTGGGCCATCCTAGACTGCTTTCCCAGGCCACAGGCAGGGAGCTAGATGGGAAGCGGGGCTGCCGGAACATGAACCCGCATCCATATGGGATCCCAGCATGTGCGAGGCAAGGACTTTAGCCAGTAGGCTACCACACCAGGCCCTGGAGATGATTTTTTGTACCGCAAAGAATGCTACAACAGCAAGTTTGAGTGCAGTTCTTGTATTTGTGATATTGTCACATATATGAAGACTCTACAATCTACATAGTAACAATGACAATTTCAAAGTTGCAATTAAATTTTGTATAATCTGTGATTTTGAATTATCCATGCAACTGTGCCTCAATAGTGTTTCCATGATAATAAAGTGAGATGTCAGTTTGTTAACTATAATTGTTTAATTGAACACATGTTATTTGTACAGTTCTATTACACAGGTTACAAAAAAGAAATGGAAAGTATGCTCCCTAAACTCAAGGAAATTATATTTGGCTTTTGGTTTAGAATTTCTTAAAATGTAGAACTAATAATTTTCTTTTTTTGTGTTATGACTTTCATAACATATAACTTTCATTATATTTAAAGTGTTTGTGTCTCCCTTTGTCCACTTTTGGAATCAAACTACAAAAAAATCCCTCTTCATTTTACTTTATTCTTTCAATACACATTTACTTCAGTTGCTTAGCATATTCAACTCATCTTGAAAGTTACTTTAATTTCTGAGTTTATGGAAAAACTTTTTTGTGTCATATTTGCAGGTGTTAGTAATAGAACAGAAAAATGAAGACGGAACATGGCCAAGGGGTCCTTCTACTCCTAAGTAAGTGCTCCTTCTTCTTCTTATGGCTTGCTGCATGATTTTGAAGCTTTTGATTTCCGATCATGAAATACAGAATGATCAAAGAACCCAGTGATGTGTTGTGAAAATATATACCTCTTTGATATCTAAATCTGGATTCACATTGAAATTAATGTCATATTTTAGACACTTGCAATTCAAATCTCTTTTAGAATAAGTTATACAAACAAATATAATGAAGAATAGCATTATTTAATGCAGTCAACAAAACATATTGTTTAGTTTTCTTGAAGCTTTATTTCTTAAAAAGCATATTAAGCAAAAGCTTTATTAAAATCAATTATGTAAAATTAATATTTATTCATCTAAAATTATTTAGAATATAAAAACACAAGTAGTTACTTTTTAAATGCTGACTCAAAGGAGAATTGGGAATCTTTCATTGTTTAAAAACTGTGAGATCCGTATTTTACCTGCATTGTCAAAAATACTTGAAACTAGTGTGTTTCCAAATCAGACTTTGGAAATCTGACAAGTAATAAAGTACATGTGCAAGCTATTATTGTACATTTCTGCCAAGTCCAAGGGAGCATCATATAAACATGTTTGTGTTCCTTAGCAAATACTCCTACTGAGTGGAGGAAATAAGAACCTTGAACATAAATAGCCTCCTTTTTAGCTTGTGTCCTGAAATTACATGAAAATGTCATTCATATCCTGCTTGATTGGAAGTAATGCAAGGGTAGAACTCGCAAGAAAGTGAAACTTAAAAAGGATATTAATTGACTCGTGGGTTTCTTAACTGATTCGGAAGTTGGACATTTTTTTGTGTGTGAATATTCACTTTCTTTAAAACTAAAATACTGGTCTTTCTAACTTATGTTTAGATTGTTCTATATTTTATATAGCTTTAAAAATTCTTAGAAATTAAAAAGGTGGTTGTACTTTAGTATAGAAATATCAGTTCCAAAGATTAAAATATCTTTTGAAAGTATTTCCACCCGAATCATAATAATTACACATCACTTTCATTTTCTATCTGCTAGATCAGTGTCATTTTACTTTCTGTAACAGTATTTGCTGTATGTTAAGAGGAATTAGGGTTTTTTTTTATGATACCTAACATACCATACATATGAAATAAATTTTGGTGAGTGAAGGTATTGTGGCATAGAAATACAGTTAAGACTCACAGTTCCCCATAAACCTACTAGTTAAAAAAAAAATCCTAAATATTAATGTAAAATAGCTACTTAGTTAAAATACAGAAACACTATGCAATAGTATATCATATATACCAAGTGATAGTTTAGTGAAACACAAAAAGAAAAAACTTTTTAAGTCTTGCATTTATCAATGAAAAGACAGAAAACTTGGAATAAAAAGATTCTAACCTGATAAAAGCCATATGCATTTACTAAATTCTTCAGTACATGCTAAATTTCACTGAGAAATTTTTAGTTGAATCCAGATAAATTTGGAAGATAAAAAATTCCTTATCTGCACATATGTGATCATAAAATCCAAAAGAATCAACGGACAACTAAAACATAAAGTTTCGTTTATGAAAACCAGCAGATTATTTTTTTCTATACAAAGAAGCCAGCAACTTTTTAAAAAAGGGTCAAGAGAGATATTTTTAACCCTGTGAGCCCTATGGGCTTATCACAAATATATGCTGGTGTTAGCATGAAAACATTCTTAGATATCATTTCAACAAATTATCATGGCTGTGTTTTAGTAAACTCACTGGTAAATATATGATAAGCTTGGATTTGTTTGTGAATAATAATTTTCAGGTACCTGCTATCTAATATTAGTAAGCTACTTAGAAAATAGTGTAATAGTGACTTAACCTACAAGAAAAACATATTAAACTTGACAAAATATGTTATCAAGCTCCATGTGCTACATCTTAACCTAGTAATGCCTGTTGTCTTTACATCTATCTTGTTAGTGCTTCCTGTTCAAAATTCTATGTGTTTGTGTGTAGAAGAAGGTAACATATTAATTGTTGAATTAGTATTATTCGTGTGTGTGTGAGAGAGACAGACAGACAGAGAGAGAGGAAGGGAGGGAGAGGAAAGACATTGTCATTCTTAAATAAGCGTAGACCAATCAATACCTGTCCAGGATTAGCTAAGTCAGCCTTAACAAAAAAGAAAGGATATGTAACTGCCAGTTACTGAGAATCACTACAAAGCTATACTAATAAAAATAGTATCAGGCCCAGCGTGGAAGCCTAGTGGCTAAAGCCCTTGCCTTGGATGCTCTGGGATCACATATGGGTACTGGGTCTAATCCTGGTTGCTCCGCTTCCATTCCCACTCCCTGCTTGTGGCCTGGGAAAGCAATTGAGGACGGCCCAAAGCCTTGGGACCCTGCACCGGCGTGGGAGACCTGGAGGTCTTGACTCGTGGTTTCAGATCAACTCTGCTTAGCTCCAGCCTTTGTGGCGACTTGGGGAATGAAACAGTGAATGGAAAGTCTTTCTCTCCGTCTTTCCTTCTCTGTAAATCTGCCTTTCCAATAAAAATAAATCTTTTTTTAAAAAATTTATTTTTCTTTTTTTTTTTTTTGTTGTTGTTGTTGTTGTTAATTACATTGCATTATGTGACACAGTTTCATAGGCTCTGGGATTTCCCCAACCCTTCCTCGTGCCCTCCCCCCATGGTGGATTCCTCCACCTTGTTGTAGTATTACAGTTCAAGTCCAACCATAATTCTTTCATTGCAAGCATATACCAAGCATAGAGTTCAGCATCTTATTGTCCAGATAAATTCAACAGTTTCTTGGGGAGACCATCTCTGGTCTGAAGGCATGGCTGGCATAATATCATCCGATCCATTAAAAGCCACAACGTAACATCAACAACAATTTACAACATTATGGAATTATCTGACATGGTACTGAGTAACCAATATGTTAAAAAATGCAAGTTCTTAGCCACATCCTGTGACTACTTCATTGACACTTCAATTTAGTTTATATACAACCGGCTTTTGTACAGCTTAAAATGGCTGTAGGGTACTATTCAGCTGTCTCTAGTCTTTTCATTTTAGTATTTAGCAGTCTATAATGTTGAAGCATAATTTTGCTGAACTTGGCAGATTTTAGGATAGTCTATACTGGCTTATAACTCTGACAAGGCATATGTCAACAGTTTAAGTGCAGAACAGTTTTAGGAGGGGTGTGCAGAGAAATCTTCAATACCTTAGTGAGGAGTAACTAATCTTTGTGTCCTGCTTAGTAAGGTAGTGTGAGTCCACGCTGACCGTTTCCTGTCTGGTTCTAAGCTTTCCTTGTTGTTCTCTGTTAATTTATTCTAAATTTTTGTTTGTTTTTTTGGGGGGAAGGAGGCTCCAGAGCAACCCTGATGGTCATTGCAAGAGAGGGTTGGGACCCAAAGTTGGAACTAAGCAAGGACCAGAGAAAGCTCCGCTCCCTAGTCCCGAAGGAAGTTTACTGTTCTTCTGTTTCTGCGGACTGCTCAGGGCTCCTGACTGTTGTTCCGATGACCTTGGATCCTGCGAGGAAGGATTTGGGCTTCTTCCATCCCATGTGTAGATCCAAACGAGGGTGGATGACCTCAGAGTTCTTGACCTCCGAAGGCACTCTAATTCCCCGTGGTCTCCTTGGTAGTTGGGATGCAGTTCTTGGTGCCCATACTGATAGTCCTTGGTGAGGATCCAGGAGTCTCCAGGGTTGGGATACAAGCTTCCTCCTGTCCACCTGCTCCACTCTGGGGTCCCCCCCTGCTCTGTGAATATGACCTGTTAAGAGGTTGTCAGGATCGCTCTTGATTCCCCCTGTATGTCTTTGCAGTTTTACTGTTGTCTAATGCTGATTTGAGTCTGTTGTCTGTTAGTTACCTGTTATGATCCTGATAGGTTATACTTCACGTCTTCCTCACACGTTCTAAGGAGATGGAAGATTTCTCTCCCGCCCCATTTCTGGGTTGCATAGGGTCAGGTCTTAAAAGTATATTAGATTTTACAATTCTTTGATGTAGATCATAAGTAGTCTGACTCACATTGATTGTTGGTTCATTGGTTACATCACAATATCTTATTGCATGAGATACAGGCTGTTGGGGTTGAAATATTACAGTTTACAGGTACTGTTTTTTGGGTTGACATACTTTCATCTTAAGGCAAACATGTGGTATCTAACCTTTTGGGATTGGCTCATTTCCCTTAGCATAATGGTTTCCAGTTGGGCCCATTTGGCCACAAAGAACTGCATTTCGGGTTTTTTTTAACAGCTAAGTAGTATTCCATAGAGTAAATAAACCATGGCTTTCTTATCCAGTCTTCTGTTGATGGGCATTTTGGTTGCTTCCATGTTTTTGCAGTTATTGATTATACTGGTATGAACAAAAAAGAAAAAGACTCAAATAAGAAATGTAAACCATTAGAGTTAATTTAAGAAGCCCTGAAAATAATTATATCAGAGGAACCATAAAGTATAATATATGTAAAAAATTAAGTGGATTAATTACATAAACGTAATTTCTTTAAAATGACCTGAAGGCAAATTATAAGTCAAATCTTATTTTTAGAATATCTAAAACTTGCAAGGGAACATACCTATACTTTATTTTTTAAGTGCTGTAAATAAATAGTTTTAAAAGTAAAACGTTAATATGGAATTTAAATACACTGAAAGGTGAGTGCTGACATATAAATAAGATGTAGTACAAATATATTAATGACTAGAAAAATTAAAATAATGACTAGAAAAACTAAAATAAAGCATGAGATATAACTTTCTACCCATCCTTATGGCAAAAAACCTGGAAATTTGCTGATGGGAGTATTGGATAAGATGTATAGAATAAGTCAAATGTGTTAATGGGAATGTAAACTAGTATTGCCATTCCATAAATCGGTCAATAATAGTTATTAGCAATGCTGATTCTCCTGACTCAGCACTCACATTTTTACACAGAACCCTCTGGATATAATCTTTGTAGCCATGTTATATGTGAGTTGGAGACAATCTGGTTAAGTAACTACCAC